GTGTCTTTTGCCCGGAAGCAGTGCTTGGCACGTTAGCACTCAACATGTGAGAGGGACCTCAAAAAAACTGGAATTATTTTTTGGAGGGCAGGCCCCTTGTGGTACAGGCTTCCCCTACTAGGTAAGTGTTTTAGGAATCCATCGGCATCAGTGTACTAGCTAGCATTGTCGTGAGAGGCTGTATTTAGCTTGAGTGAAGTTTTTTTTTTAGAGATCCTTTCAACGCGTTTGCCCGTTTCATGATGGGTGATTTACAAGCACACCTGCCACGCTGCACTGAATGTTCATCAGTTTTTGACCAAAAAAAGGCATGATCCCCGTGCCCCACCCTCCTATTCACCAGATCTTGCCCCAATGACTTTTTTTCCCCAGATGAAAAAAGTCCTCAAAGGGATACATTTTGCCAATGTGGAAGAGGTGAAACAAAAAATGGCAGAAGCACTAGAAGGCATAAAATCGATGAGTTCAAAAACTGGAACGGTAGAAAAAGTGTCTCAGTAGGTGTATTGCGCCAAACGGAGAGTACTTGGAAAGTGATGGAAGTTTAAATACGTAAGAATAAATACACAGTTTTTAATAAATAAGTTCTATTTGGGGGGTCCCCCTGCCCTTGTATGCCTGTTGAATGAATGAATGGTGGTTTCACTGACTGAAAGGGCTGGGACGTGGGCGTTGTGTTGTAGGATCTCTAATGTTCAGTCTCTTTAGATTCCTCCTTTTGGGTCAGTTTTCTTTGCCAGAAGAATCCTGGCTGCCAGTGTTCTTAGAGCTGACTGGAGGAGGCGGCAGAAGGTCTGGTGATTCAGTGTGAGGTCTCGTACCTGATTCTCTTGTTTTCAGTAAGGTAATACTTCTGTCTTCTTCTGTGCCTGAATCCTTAGGCCCGGAGCCCTATAAATTAACTGCTTCTCAGGGAAACTCCTGGCCTATACTGGGGAGGCAGGATAGGGGTCAACTTGTCGTGTGTATGTACACGAGTGCACGTGGGCACGTGTGCATGTGGGAGGGGGCAGGTGGGAGTGGAGGACTGTTTTAAACTCCACCTTATTTTCAGATGTTCCTGGTATCTGGTTCCTGAGCCATTCTGGGGTTCTGTAGGGTATGTCGCAGTTACTGCTGGTCAATATTTAATTGGCTCTCCAGGGAGAAAGAGAAGCCCTGATTAGCAGTGTTTGCTGACTCCCATGGTGTAAATATTCTCACCAGAGTTGCCTTCAAGTTACCATCATGATGTCACTGGACACCGATTTTATAAATCCCCTTATCTCCCCCTGTAACAGAACAAGTCCCAGGTCTTGGCTGTGACTGAGATTCCATTCTATTCTTTTCACACATGTTCGTCTTTTTCTGCCTTTACAAGATACGTGTTGTTCCATTGCTAAGCTAGTTCCATTTTAATTTCTGATGCTTATTGCCAACTTACATCTTTTCATTATGAAATTTTTTTCTAAAGCCCGAACTTCCCCATATCCCTTTCCACATAGTAGCCGTTTTTCACGCATTTTGACTGCAAAAGGTAAAAACATGAATTCAGTCGTAAGTTTTGTCCATGAACTTTGATTCATCATAACACGTTTATATACGGTACTTGTGAAATAGGAGTACTTGCATGTCCCATGCATTGTTGATTGGTTACATAATAATGTTTGACCATACAAAGCCGTAGACTCTTTGGAATAACTCTTAGCTCCCCTCTCCTGCCCCCAAATCCAGTTGCTTAGTCTACAGGTCGGGAGCCAGTGTTTTAGATGATCTTTCCCCCAAAGTAATTCTCATTCCTTTGAGTTTAAATGAGCTTTCTTGCCTTTTGAAGACCAAGTTGTGTTTCTTTCTTTTTTTTTGAGTTGGAGTCTCACTCTGTCGCCCAGACTGGAGTGCAGTGGCCGCTCCCGGCCACCGCAGCCTCGACCTGCCGGGCTCCGGCGATCCTTCCGCCTCAGCCTTCCGAGTAGCTGGAACTACAGGCGCGCGCTACCACAACCGGGTAATTTTTTGATTTATTGTAGAGATGAGGTCTCGCCAAGTTGCCCAGGTGAGTCTCGAACCCGCGGGCTCAGGCAATCCACTCACCTCAGTCTCCCAAAGATGCGGGATTACAGGCTGAGCCACCAAGGTTGGCTCAAGTTGTGTTTCTTTTAGCTTCTGACTGTTCCTTGAATCCATTCCCTTTTCTTTTTCTTCTGCCTGTACTCTAGTCCAGGCCCTGCTTGCCCCTCACATATATTGAGGTGACAGCTTTCTGTCTGGCTTTTTTTCTTGAGTCAGAGTCTCTGTTACCCAGGCTGGAGTACAGCAGCATGCTCACGGCCACTGCAGCGTCAACCTGCTGGGCTCAGGCAATTCTTCCATCTCAGCCTTCAAAGTAGCTGGAACTACAGGTGCGCGCTGCCACACCTGGCTAATTTCCTGATTTATTATAGAGATGAAGTCTTGCCAAGTTGCCCAGGCTGGTCTTGAACCCTTGGGCTCCCAAAGTGCTGGGATTATAGGCATGAATCACTGTGCCCAGCCTGGTCTCTTTTCTGTCTGTTCCTTGTCCAACCCATTCTCAATATTCCAGCCAAAGTGATCTTCCTGGGTGTGTCCTTGCCTGAAGGACTGCTACTTTTCTGCCCAATCATGAGGCACAAGATACCTTTGTTTCCATCAGCGTCTACATTCTACATTCTGTAAATATATCCCGCTCCTTTTGCCCATGAGCTTGTGGTCGAGCCAGTTCTTTCTGCAAGAGCAGCTTTTCTCCTGTAGATGGCAAGTTCGTGTTGAAGTATTACCTTACCTACACCACTTTTTTATTCACCTCCGCAATCATGCGCAGCATCCTGTAACAATACAGATTTCGGTTATGGACCTCTCACGCTGTGGACACTTTGGGAATAGGAACTTCCAGTCATGTTTGTGTCCCCAAGCACCGTGACCAGTACCTGGCACATAGTCAATGCCCAATACACGCTAACTGAACAAATTGGTTTGCTTGTGAATATGGGCTTCGCCTTGAGACTAGCTCCTGAATGGGATTCTACGCATAGCCTAGATGTGGACATTAAGTGAGAAAAAATGTGTTATTTTCCCAATTGTTTTTTCCCATTTCAGTCTCTGTTGGGAACCGGCCATGGAGGCCCACTGAGCATTAGGGATCAGGAAGGGCTGTTGGCCCTGAGACCACTAGGATGCGTTCGGGAGCTATTGACCCCATTTCCTCCCCCTTCCTACTCAGCACTAACCAGATTAAGCTCCTGTGAACTCAAAACATAAAAACTCTGAGACCGGGGCGAACACAAGCTAACTTTAGAAGCTCATTGCTACCATTCTTCCACAAACTGCAGTTTTGGCTTTCACACAACTTATAATTCAAACTCGGGTCACATCTAAGAGTCTTAGTACTGGTCACAGGCTTCTGGGTCATGATCTTAGTATTTATTGAAGTTGAATAAATGGATTAAGGTTTCATCGATTAGGTTATGGGATTATACCTGAAAGAACATCCGGTGGGTGGGGAACGCCCCTCACACACCCAACTGTGTATACAAGACCAGTTGTAATTCCCATTAAATGGCTTCTGCACTAGACTGGAGTCCAGTCTCTTTCTTTCTCTCTCTCTCTCTCTCTCTCTTTCTTCTTCCCCCCAATCGCCAACGCCATCTCCACCTTTGGGGTACCCTGAACCGGGCTGGAGCTGGTCTCCAGCAAGTCTCTTCTGGCATTCCTTTATGCCAAATAAGACTCTATTGCATCTTTCTGGTTGCGAAAGCAGTAAGTAAGAAGTATGGTATTTATATGGGCTTTGGCAGTAGGCCTTAGTTCAAATTTGCTATGGATAGCAAAGAACAAGCAAATAGAGAAGGCCAGGTATCATGCACACGTACTTAGCACCTTTATGTCTTAGTTTTCTCATCTGAAGAGTGGAAGCTATTATAATAGCGTTTACTTCCCAAGATTGTTATACTTGCAGCTGTAATTGTAAAGATCAGTGCAGAAAAGGTAAAAGTCTCTGAGGTCTGAATGTAGCTGGAGGCCAGGGCTTCAGATCGTCACTGTGTTGCACTAAAACACAGATCTGATGCCAGAAGTCTTGGAGAATAATTTTGATCTTTTCTTTAGAACAGTCTTTCTCAACCAGGATTCATCTGAACCACAAAATTCAGAAAGTGACTATTTTGTCAGTTTTCCCAGGGATGCTACATATCCAACACTGCTCCTGAGGCTTGGGAGTGTGTTCATTGTCTACAACACATGATTAAGGGCACAGAGGCTTCGTTATCTCCTAGTCCCCCCCACCCAAAGGCTGCTCTGATGTTTCTTGAAAACCTGGTGCAGGGTCTCAGCACAGTGCATCAGAGTCCCACTGAAATCCTCTCTAGAAACCTCTCCCTTGCCTCGGATATTCTGTTATTGCAAATTTTCCCCTCCTTCACCCATTTGTTCCTAGAATACTGTTCATCTGTTCTTTCTCCATATTGTGCTCATCACACACCCAATCATTCTGACAGGTATCCCTTTGCTTTTCTTAAAAGAATATTCACATCACTCCCCATCGTTGTGTACCCACTTCCACCTCTGGAATTGCAGTGAAATGACGTCTTCAAGAAAATCAATGCCAATAACTAGACTGCACACTAAACACAGTGGATATCTTGACTTTTTAAAAAATGTGCAGAATTTCTAAGTCATCTGGCTCTCTTGCCACCTTCAAATGGCTTTCCCTGACAAAAACTGCAGTAATGTGGCACTTAATCTAGCTGTGTTATACTTTGTGCTGGTGAGGCTTCTGTAAGACTGGTGTGTACGGCAGAGCAAGTCTGCTCCTCTCGGTGCCATTCCTAGTTCCTGGTGCTCTTCAGTGCTGACAAGGCTCATGCTGCCTTCCAGAAAGGCAGCAGGCAGCTTTCCTTCGGGCAAGTGAGGTACAGGCCATGATGTCTTCTGTTAGGAAGAACAGAGGGCAGGCAATTGGCTGTGTTTGCCACAATTCATATAATGGAACATAATATAGCCATTAATTTTTGAAGAGTATTTATTGACATGGGAAAATGCTCACAATATGTTAAAGAAAGCAGGATACAAATCTGTAAATACAGCATGATCCCAATCTTGTAGTAAAATAAATTATATATGCATAGAAAAAATACAGGAAGGAAATACACTAAAACAGTAACAGTGATTATCTCAGGATGGTGGGATTTTGGATAAATTATTAATTTTATTATCTTCTGCATTTTCCAAACTTCTCATGATGAATACAGATTGCTTTTATGGGGGGGGGGTGGAGAAAGGACGTCATACAGGCGACATCTAGTCCTGGAAGGCAGCAAGACTGATGTGGCACTGAGGGGTATTTGAGTCACTTGGACTGCCTCAGCCTGTGCCCTCATTTATAAAGAGGAACACTTGCCCTGCCCACCCCCAGGTCGAGGCACCTGAAAAGGTCACAAATATCTGGTGATTGTTCCTCTATAGCAGCAGCTCAATGCCTTATTTGAGAACGCACTCCTCCATACCTTGCTTCCAAAGTCAGGAGAATTCTGGGCAGAGAGGCCAGCCTGCAGCCTGGGTCTCTGGCCTTTCTTGAAGGATTCCAGGTGTTCATTTGAAATCCAGTGCTGACCAAGCAGTTTCCCCACTCACATTTCCACTCCAGGTTCCTTCCCTGCTTCAAAAGTTCTTTACACTGGCTTTGCTGAAATAGTTATTGCTTAAAATGGTCTGAGAATGACCACCCGCCCAACCCCACTCTGTTCCCAGCATTTTAGAGCCCTAAGGAGGCACAGTGTGGGCCCAGATGTGCAGTGGGAAAAGGAAGGAGTGGTGCTGGGAGTCAGGTCGCCAGAGCTGGACTCTTCTTGTTGGGATGCAGGGTAGCTTGTGTAAGCTTTTTGGAGAGGAACTTTTTTGAGATGTGGTTACATGAGATAACGTATATGAAAAGCCCAGCATGTAGTAAACACTCAACAGATGTCGGTTCTCTTTCCAAGTACAAGATCGCCTTCTTCCCCTGCAAATTCTCTCTTCAAAAACAAAGCTTAGTGCTCAGCGGAGAAAAATGCAAAATGAAATAGAACCCATTGAAAGCAGAAGAGCACAGCTACTTAAACAGGACTGTCCAAACACTTGCTCTGCATAAAGCCAGTAAGATGGTATTTCATTAAACACATCTTCATCTAGGTAAACTGACATGCATGCCAAAGCTATTTGTAGAAATTATAAAAATACTTTAAAAATGCATTTGTAGAATGAAATAACAAAAATACTTAAATTATTTTTTCTAAACTTTTTCTCAATTTAAAATTATGAATTGCGGAGTTTCATTTTATTTGCTGTTGGCTAAAACCTAGGTCATTCACAACCTCTCCCTCAACTATTTTGAATAAAATTCTAAAACATATCGTCTTTTTCCTAGCCTTTTATAAAGTGCACTGGATTTAATTTGCTCTTTTAAATAAACTCAAGGTCATCATAATGAGAATTAGTCTATAGGCCATACACATATTTTTCTGGGTTACCTAGAGTATCCTTTGGTAAACAGTCCCAGATATACTATGCCTTGGATAGTTTCTTTTATTATTATTCTTCCCATCATGCTATCTAGTTTTCAGCTGGCTTTTTTTTTTCTTTCCTGCTTTCAGTATGCCTACCTTCAACCTAACAGCCTCCTTCTTTGCCTTTTTGTTTGGTGAGCTTGAAAGCCAGATAACCAAACATGTTAGAAACTTATGCAAATTTTAATACAGAGGCTAAGAGTGATATTCTTGAAGCTCTCGCCTATGAGTTAATTGTAAGAAACTTTGTGACAGCTCTCCTGGAAGTTTAAAGGCCTTTAAAAATTCAATTTCTGATTTGTTGCTTTGCCAGAGAAGTAACTTCTGGACACATGGCATTTTCACTCATATTCCACTTATTTTTTTAACCTATCCTTAAAAAGGCCATTGTGATGAAAAGTGAGATAATGCATGTAAAAGCATCAACTGTGAAATAGTATTGTTTAGCCCATATATCTATAAAGAAACACACACAGATGGCTAAATTGAATCAACCCCAATGTTTTATTTAATTTAAAAATTCAAAAGGCAGTGGTTAAGCACATTATCTATGTATATATATGTATGTACATACACACATACATACATATATAAAGGAAACCAACCCCTTTCGACTTTAGCCACTGATCAACTAGGCCCACTGTCTATTGCATGATTCAGTTTCTACTTCTTCATAGGACCAATTCTAAAAGTAAAAATAAACAGCGTGTATCAGCTTAACAGTAACTATTTGTGTTTCTTTTTTTTTAAATAAATAAAGTTACTATTAAACTGATCACATATAGTAGAAAAACATACACACACATCAGCACACACACAGTCCCCGATTTAAAACGTGATGTATGAATGACCCATATGCTCAAATGGGTGCTGCTGGCTCCTCCACTCCCAGCAGAGGCCACACGAGAACTCTCATTACCTAGGAATCTCTGTTCCCTCTGCTGGGAGGGAGGACGTGTGCGTTCCTGACACCCCAGGTTAGACCTCAGAATGCACACTCCCCATGCACTGATACAGATGGTGGTTCAGTTCTGTGGTACTAGTGTTCAGATATATTAGGGAATAAATAGGCATTTGTAGCTGCCTGGGAACTAAACCATCATTTGTAACTCTTTATAGGGAGAAATGTATTCTGAAGTTTCAGCTAAGTGACATACAAACCTTCAGAGTGTAATTAGCTTGTAAGTCTGAGGCTGTGTGTGTATGTGTGTGTGTGTTTCCATATATTTATACAAAATTGATAGGAAGAGTGGGGCTAGGTTTATAGAGCAGCTGCTTGGCTTCCGTTCAGTCAGGCCTGACCTAAGAAGTCACTTGCCTCGGCCTTATTTACCAGTTCATTCTGCTTCTCCCATGCCTTTGGCTGCTGGAGAGATTCAAAAGGGGCCGCTCACACAAGTGAGAGGAAAGACATGGCTAGATCTTCTGCTAAGAATCTTGGCAAACAGAATTGCCAGATTCAACCAGGGCTGCTTTATAGAATAAAATCCCTCAGTTTCATCCTGATGAAATGGAATTTTTTTTCTGCTACCAGCCCCTGTAACTCTAACTGCAGCTCTGTATGAATGCCTCAGTATCGCAAAAAACACAGGATCACCTCTTAAATATGCTGGATTCTCAATGAGTAAACCAGTTAATGTGTTTCTAGCCAAAGCAAGGGCATAAATGTTTTAGAGAAAAGATTCCCCTGGAGCTACAGAGAAAAGATGCTGATAAAGCAATATTGAGAGTTGAGCAGGTGATGCTTTTAGTCTGTGTCAGAGCTGGTCTCTTCGATGACAGAGTACTGGTTGAGTGCTTCTTCCAAAGGCGTTATTGTCCCATCAGGTTTTAGTCCCATTGGTTTAAGCAATTCCTCTCTGGAAAAAGAGATAAAAGAGAAAGAAAAAAAAAGTATTCACCAGCATCACACACACACCCCTCCCCCCACCCAAATCCACATCCTTTTAAAAAGAAAAGTCTTTAAAAACCAAAGTATTTTCCCTCAAGCTCTCTCTGTGTATTTGTAATAGGAAAGATGAAAGGGGCATGGAAAGAAAAAGAGGGAGATAAAAGACTTCATTCACACAGGCCAAACCTACTAAGCCAATTAAAAGTATGAAAAGTCAAGGTCTAAATGGGCTCAGGACAAGGAGCAGGTCCCTTCTGTTTTAAAGAATTAACTTTTTTTTCCTTTTGTGAATTTGTTTTGTTTTAGTGAAGTTGAAGCTGCCAAAATTTCACCTGCCCCAGTGGTGGAGCCATACAATTAAACGGCTGATTTGAGATGTATGCATTTCATTCAGAGGAAGAAATCCGCCAGATCTGATTCTGCCCCCACAATCTCTAGTGAAATATAATTACTTGTTGATTCATTTCAAATTAGTTGGCCTTCCCCAACTTTCTCCCTGACTTTTCTTTCCTTCTCTCTCTTTCGCTTTCTTTCCTTCTTTTTTAGAAACACCATTGCTTTTGTTTGTGGCAGTTTAATTATGGGATTGACAGCCATTTTAATCTCTTCAAAGCTCCCCAACTGCCTCTTTTCAGCTAATCCAATTATATCTACTCCACAAGTTACAGCCTCATCCAAAGATGATTAATTATTGATTAAGTCAATCAAAAAGCATTAGGCAAGATTTATTTAATCTTTTCATAGGCTCTTATTTATTACATGGAGATTATGGTGAATATACCTGTTGAGTCGCTAACTCCAGTCCTCCCTCCCCTAAAAGGTCAGTAGTGTACTCAAGAGTGGGCTTGAAGAGCTCCATGAGCTGCCTAAAACTCTTTCTCACAGAATCGGGTATCACCCCTTGAAAACACGTCCATAACCAATGACCCACATGGCAGCAGCTATAATGTTGGTAGGATTTGGATGGAAGGGAAATAACTCCCTCCCTGCAACTGTCCCTTAGGCCCCACAAAGGCCCTCCCGGGAAGGGGCAGCCACACAACATCACAACAGTGTGATGGTGTCACAGACACAGTGAAACCTCCTGGGGGCGGGGTGAGAACAGCTCAGTGGTCACTGGATAAGCCAACATGAGCCTAGTCAAGCAGCTCTGGCTAGCACCAGAAGACTACTTCCGAGAGTTTGAAAATGTTGTTTGAGAAATGTGGATGGCTGAGAGGCTCAGTCGAGGCTCCTGAATGTTATGCAGGAGAAAATGTGTTCCCTGATCCACGAAATGGGATAGGAATAATAGAACTTAAAATTGGAAGGGCCTTAGAGATCATTTAGTCCAACCTCCTTCTTTAATAAAGGAGACTGAGTGACTCACCCAAGGTCACTTATCTAGTGACAAATTTGGACCTGGGACGTGGGTCTCCTGAAACCTAGTCCAGTGCTCTTTGTGGCATACCACATCTGGATTAGCTGCCCTAACTGCAGTGGAGGAACACACTCTGAGTGCATCTGTTCAGTGTTTGTTCAATAACTGTGACAGGAATCATGTCACATACTAAGAAGAAAAAGAAGACTGGGTACAGTTCTGCACTTGAGAAGCAGGTAAAACAAGTACATAAAACATAATTTAGAACATCATGGGGTAAATGCTGTAAGAGAATTATGAACTGTGGCAGCTCCTGAGATGAAGCACTGACTAAGCTCCTGGGGAAGGCACCACCAGTGAGGTGTCCTGCATTAGGCAGACGGCACCGAGCATTTCAGGCAAAGGAGACTGCAAAGAGCCCGTGTGATCCCAGTGACTTGCATAACTTGGTAGACCTTTTGGATTGTGTCAGTTTATCTTTTCTGTCTCTGTGCTCTCCTGAAGCTGGGAAAGGGCCCAGTGTTTGAGGAATGGTGAGGTTTAATGAAGGAATGGCAGGTGGTAAGCCTGTGAGGGTAGCTTGCGATCCGATGGTCACCTTAAATGCCAAAACATGGAGCTCAGGTTTTACCTTGTAAAGAGTGTCTGACTAGGTTGTTTTGTAAGAAAAGTACCTCTGGCAGCAGTATGGTAGACACACTGGAATTGGTGGCAGAGAGACAAGTCCTTAGGAGGTCATCAGAATAGTGTGTGGGAGAGGAGTTAGAGAGCTGGATGTAAGCTGAAGTTGTGGGAATAAAAGACCACATTTCTGAGGTAGGTTTGATGACCCACTGGAAGGGAAAGGGGTTGGTGAAGAGTCATGAGCAGAGTGTGCCTGTGGCTCCAGCTTGGATGGCCAAGTGGACAGTGACACAATTCACTGGGGCCAGGGCACAGGAGACAGAGATTTGGTGGGGAGATGCTGACATCTTTTAGGACATGAAGAGCTTGAGGTGTCTGTAAGGCAACCAGGTAGAAATGTTCAGTGGTGAGCTAGAAACAATCTGTTTCCACTAAAATTTCTCTCTAGCATTGACGTATACTACACATCTACATTTAACAGCATTTTCCTAGTTCTAAGTGATTGTGTTGAAGGGTTTTGTGATATTGGAGTCTATACATTAATAACTGACGCAAAAGGCGAAGAGGGACAACCTGCTACAAATGCAACATAAGAACAGTCGAAGGTCTAAAGGGGTTGGTGCATTGAGGGCACACTGAGGTGGGCTAGAGGCTGAAGAATAGGGACAGGTGGAAGAGCGAATGGCAGATGGGACTAGATGGATTCTACCAAGGAGAGTGGTAAACTGCCAGGTGGATACATTACCATCCCTGAGATGAACACTACTGCATCTCTTTGACAACAGGATGGCTCTGGGGCTAGCTACTAACATGTATGAAGTACCTAGCACTTTCCTCGCTGACCTAGGAGAAATATTTTCAAATCAATTCAATCAGTTTCATCCCTACTCCCTAATCCAATTTTACTATGGAAATAATTTAAAATATTACATTAGTTTTATGGCCAAATTATGGGATTTCATTATGGAACAAAGGGCCCCACATTTTAATTCTCACTTTGAAATTATACTTCTCAAGCATTTATGTTTTGGGTGCTTTGTATCACCCCTTCACTAAAATAGAAGCTCCTCTGAGGGTATGAATTTTTTTTCCCCACATGTCTCCATGCAATGCCTGGGCTTACTGATATCTCTGTAGGAAAGGCATCAGTGAAAACTGGCCACGTAATCATGCATTCGTGCAAAAGGATTATGGCAGCAATGTGATGTCGTGGAAAGAACAAAGAGATCTGGAGTCAGAGAGTCAGTCTGAAGTCCTGATTTTCCACTTACCAGCGATGTGATCTTGGGCAAGTCTCTGAGTCTCAGTTTCTCTATCTGTGAATTTGGGGTCATGATAATACTAGCTCTATGTACTTCTTAGTGATGATGTAAGGAAGAATAGTAATGGTAGTAGTACTAGTAATAACAATGTAGATAGATCAAAGAGTTCTGTGAACTGTAAAGGACTCTTAAAAATGTGTTATTATTATTGTAGTAGAGTGAAAAGCACATATAGGTTTTAGAGTCAGACAGACCTGCATTCTAATTCAGGATCTACCACTCACTAGCCATAAGACCTTGAACTCTCTGAATTTCAATTTCCTTATCTGTAGAATTAGAATAGGAATACATACCTCACTAAGTTGTTATGAGGGCAAAAGCTTTTATGCATATTAAGTGTGTAGTGTAATATTAGCCTGGAATGTAGCTGGAATCCACAGGTTGCAGTTCCTGTCCCTTATATGCTTATAGAAAGTTTCCCCTGCCAGTTAGGGATAAGTGGGGGAAGAATACGCAGAAGCAAACAAAAGACATGGTCCCTGTCCTCAAGAAGCTTTTAGTCAGTTCAGAAGACAAAACACACACACATTAAACAATATTGAAGGAATTACAGAACAGCAGATCAACAAGCTTGAGATGTTGAACAGGCAGAGAGCCCTGCTTTCCTTAAGCTTGGCCATTCGTCAGTACACCCTTATAATATTTAAAATTGTTCTAAAGGAAATTTCTTGTCCTGTTTGGGAGTAGAAAGGAGAGAATCACTTACAGATGTGTGAAAGTTTCTTCTTATGAACCCCAGGGTTATTTCTCCTACCTCCATCCTAACTTTTCTAATCTTCCTCTCTATTCTACAACTAGTAGCCCACAAATACCAAAATGAAATCTTTGATACAGAGACCCACTTCTAAAAGGCTTGGTCAATGACCTGGTTATATCAGACAGTTTCATTTACAGTCTGTTGTATCTAGATCAGCAAGATGCGGACAGAGGATGGGAAGCTTTAATGAACACCACAGAAATGCTCCTTCACTAGTCATATGGGCTGTGTACACATGGGAGGGTTACAGGAGGAGACAGGGACACTGACCACAGGCTTCTTGCAGTAGATGGACTCAGGGCCAGACTATGGAAATGAATTCATGGGGAGAAAGGCATCCCAGAAGCAGAAGAATTAGTCAAGCAGAGGCACAGAAGCAAGAGTTAGTTGTGTGCAGGGACTGGCAAGCAGGCTGGCTCGGCTGAGGTAAAGGAAAAAGAAAGCTCAAAAGAGATATGAGGTACAAAAGAGGATTTGAATGGCAACCTTGAATCCTAGGCGGACAAGTCTGAATTTGAGTACAGAGGTATTTTTGTCTTCTATTTAAAGATCCCCCCACTTTTAAGGATATTTATTAAAAATAATTGTCATTACAAAGTTTGAAAGCTGTGAAACAGTATTGTTGTGACATATTAGTAAGAAAATTTACTCTATACTTTAATTATTCAATTTCCATATCCCTATGTGTCTAGCACAGTGCCTTGCAGATAGCAGATCCTCAGTAAGTGTTTGTGAATGAAATTTAGTTGCACTGATATTATCTTGCATTTTCAGAGAGAAAAGGTATGGTATCTTATGGGACTCCTAATGACTAAACCATGAATAAGAAAAACGCTAAATCTTTGGGGAAAAGATTCACTTTCATCATCAAGAATCAGGAAAGCATTAATATTCCATAGGAAATT